TTTTGATTCAATTTTTTATAAATAACAATTGTTTTTTTGAATTTGTCCAGGTTTTGCCATTTTGCCGGCAAGTATAGTCCCCCTAATATGGGCTTCCCGGGATTATCGGTCCTAAAAGTCGGTTACAACTAATAGAAGGAATAAGAGCAATAAGGAAATAGATGTAGACGATGATTAATGGATTATATAAGAAATACGGGTTTTAAGTAATAAAGGACATTGCAGGGGTATATGAGGGATAATAGGAATAATATGTTTAATGGGTTTAATATGTTCAATACCTTAAAGAACACATATGTAATAGAACAATATATAATAAAGGCTTCAAGCCTTACAAGAACAGTTCAGTTTGTGCTTATCATAAAATTCGCTACTGTTCAATTATATTGTAAAACCTACGATCATAAACACACCACTCTCCAAATCTAACCGCCTCTTATTGACCAAGTCGTTCATAGGTTACATGTAGTGATGTGCTGCATACAGTACTATACGTACTGTATGTAGGGATGGGTTTGGTCACAAATGGTCGCAATCATTCATAGTCAATTTGCTAAATACTGAGATGATTTTTTCCTTTTGAACTTTTAATTAAAGTTGTTTAGAATTAAATTCTGATCATCTTATATTATATGTGGAAAGAATGATACCTTCTCTGGAACTCGGAATTTCAAAATATGTTACTGCCATGACTGGTTATTAGCCATTGTACATATGTACTGTATGTACTGTTACGGTGGTAACATAAAGAAGGTGTGATAATAGGCAGTTTGATGGTTGTGTAAAACTTAGAATCAGTACAAGCTCTATAATTGTATATAGAATTTTCTAAATTTGTAAATACTTACCTTTTTGTAATCAAAGATCATATCTGAATTAGTATAACTGTACCTAGAACTTGTAATAGTTCTTAGTATTGAAACCACAGATCACTTAAACTAAGTAGCGATAGTGTTAGTAAGCAAAACTACTAATTTTATAGATCAAAAGGTTTGATTATCATACCTACTAATAAATTGAAAGATATAAAAGCAGGACCTTTGAGCCTTTAATAAAATCAGTAGTTTCAATGTCTTAAATAGTAAAATAGAAGAATCAATTGCTCAAGTGTTTAGATAAATTTTGTTGTTAGAATCTTATTTATTTAATAAAAATCAATTAATAACTCTTATATTAAAAAATCTGTTACATTTCTTTTAGTATTTTGAAGTATTGTCATAATTCATTATTATTATATTAACTTATTAATTAAGTGCTCCCTTTATTAATTATATTAGTTACATTACTAAATTATCTAATAAATTAAATTTATACATAAGTGTAACTATTACCTAAATTGATTCATAGCCTGATCCTGCATAAATTAGTTAACTGATCTTTATTAAATTACTGATTTATATAAACAAACCATCTACCAATAGTACAATATTATCCTACTCAATATAACTTTTTATTTCAGTTTACTATTAAAGTTAAATTGGACAAAACATTACTATAGCTCTCCCAAATAATAGTAACATTTGGTGACAGTTGTGTGAATTGAATCAATAAACATTTTATTTTTAGATAATAAATGGCTTAAGGCCTAATGTAAGCATTAGCAACACAGATCACTGCTTTAGTATAGCAATTACAAGATGCACTGTCTGTACAAGTAAATGTTCCTGAAACCAACTAAGAATTAAGTACTATTCCCTATTAAGATTTTTATAGAGATGAATAAGATCTAATTATTGGTTAGAGGACATAGAAAAGGCATTTGATGCAAACAAGATTCTTGACAATTAAAAGATTTTAGAAATAGTTCCAAAATTAAAAGGATCAGCAATGAATTAGTAGGTCACATAAAGGATACAACATCCTGTTATTGATTGATGGCATGATCCTAATGTTTCTACTTTTAGTTTTATTTCTAATTTTATTATCAAATTTTGAACACCTGAATTGGAGACTAAGTGGTTTGCTTAATTGACTCAACAGAAACAATTATCTGAAAAAACCATTAATAATTATTATACCTCTATTGAAGAGATGATTAGAAGAGTTGAATTAGGAAAACATCAATATTCTAATACAACAAAAGCTCAAATGTTCATAAATAGACTGTATTCTGAACTCTATATGGTAGTGTCTTTATTAAACCCTAATATATTAGAAGATGCCTATGCTAGAACAAAGGTCTTTGAAAATATGTACAGAAATAATCTTACACATATGGTTTTTATGACCTAATTTATAGGATATCTAATATATCTATCTCAGAAAATAGTTAGTACTTCTGTTTTCTCTTTGATGAACTATAATAAAATAGAAGAGGCTTTATTTAAGCTAACAAAGATTATCAATAAAATGATAACTCAGTATTAAGATCAAAGGAGACTCTAGTAACTACAACAGAGTAGTTCTAACACAAATCTAGAGATAATCTGTTTTATATACAAATGACCTGGACACATTAGTCATCAGTATCCTAATTTCCAGAATAATAATAACAATAATTTCAATTCATTTGTTTAACAACCTTCTGTAAATAATATAAATAATATGAATATCCAAGAAACTTTATAGGCTTTGTTCACATTATTGAATAATTTTACTCTCAATTGGTCTCAAAATAACCAGTCTATATATTTAGAGATTCATAAGGAAAATGAGCTCCTATTTCTCTTAGTAGAATAATATGAACATAAGAAGCCTATTATGAATACTGTATTATTGCAGAAAAAGAAAAATATTAAAGAAAGAGAGAATACTATAAGGTTAGATGAAACTGAAAAGATTTTATTTCAAAATACTGATATGGATAATAGGAATGAGATTGAGAACTTAGTTAATAACATTCAAGAAGTAATTTCTGATTTTGTTAAAGAAAAAAAGAATGAGAATAAAAATGACAAAGACTCCAAATTTCAACAGAAAAAAAATGCTAAAACAAGATGAAAAGTTATTGAAGAAAAATTATTTCAAATTTCTTCTTTGGTTCCTCCTTATTTAATTGTCATTAATATTAGGGATAAACTAGCTAATATTACTTATAAATAATTATTACAGGCATCTTAAAGTATGTACTAGAAATTAGTCAGTTCTCTTCAAAAAAAGAGAACTATCACAAAAAAGAAGGTTCAAAGTAATGTTAATTTATAGCCATCCTGAAATTGACAGTCTTGTATTGCAATGCCAGGATCCATAATAAGGATATTTAACTAATAGTGAATAGTAGTGTAAGCCCTGAAATCGGTTATATATTATCATGATCACACATAACCGATTGTTGAAATTAGGTCCCACCCCTTACCCAAGTAATTAGTCACATAAAAAGTAAGATTTATCTTACTTTTCTTACTTTTATTACTTTCATTGCATTTATTACATTTATTACTTTAGGTAGATCGATGGCATATAGTACATTCAGTTTTTTGTTAGAATAGAAGGAAAAGAGGTTTTTATAATGATATAGTGTAAATAGATAATGTAAAGGAAATTATCCTCGAATGTAAATAAAAGTTTTATTATAAATAAAGAGCTTTCTGCTCAAGAGGAACATGAGCAGTATGGGATATACCCCTAGTAATTACACTTTCACATAATAAACTAAAGTATTGAACTTATAATAAAAGTGAAACTATTATCTATTCCAAACTAATAAACTATCGTTAAACCCATTGTCATTAACTATTGTTCACCCATTATTAAATCACTAACCTGCATTTTGTTCGTTTGTCATAAGTTACATAACCAAGCTGTTAAACGAAGAGAAGGACTCCAACTCAATTTAACAATCACAACCCCAAGTTAAAGAAGTAAAGAGGAAACAAGAGAAGGCAAGATTTAATAGAAAGACAGATTAAAGGAAGGACTTAGAAGAAAAAAATAGTACTTATCTATAGAAAAACCATCAAGCCAAATCTAATATGCCTATTTTAACTTAACTATCATAGGTTATACAAGAGTTGGATTAGAGTAGCAATCGAATCACTGAATTCTGAATTACATTTGGTGGTAACTGTAAGATACAAAAAGAAACTTAAGTTAGTAAAAGTACATGCCCTGTCACAAGGATAAATGAAAAGGAATACTTATCTTAATAAAGAAATTCTATCACCCCATATATCAAGAAGTCTCCTGGATGGTAAGAAGTCTCAAAAAAGTGTAGAAAAGAAGACATTGTATTTGAACAATAATAGAAGAAGAAATAGGATAGTTAGTAAAGATCTGAGTGTAAAAGAGTTAGAAGAAAAATGTGCAAAGCTGACTGCAATACTTACCCAAGAACAAGCTATGGTGTTCTAAGAAATTATCAACAAAAATTTAAAAATCATAAAATCTGCAATAAAAAATTCTTCAGGCTCTGGAATTTGTTTTAAAGGTATTAGAAAACATATCTATGAACAATAAAAAAAATATTATATACATACCCGCAGATATAAACATTAGTCCTAGTCCAATCTTACAAAAGATGAGTTTCAAAAGAAATAGAAATAAAAAAATAATAATGGTGTCTGAAGTTCTTGATGCCTACTATAACATTCTAGAAGATTAGGCTAGAGTAGAAGTTAACCTAAATAAACTTCTTCAAGAGTAGTTGTTGAATGCAAAACTCTCACACAAAGGTGGGCTCTAGAAGAAGTCATTCAAGAACCCACACAGAAAAGTGATTTGGCTGAAGTAGAACTTAAAAAAGAAGACCTAATATTCGACCCCAATCAAAAATTTGCAGAAATGGAGAATGTTAATGGAGCATATAATGTTGAATATCATTATAAAAAAGAAATCGAAGCTGAAAAGGGAGAACATGAGGCATCCCCTTATTATCAAAAACTTGATAATATAGAAGACGAAAAGGAAGTATTTGGAAGGCCTTCTAAGATCGCAGAGATTGCAGAAAGAAAATTTGAATCTGATAGTAATGATGATGATGATAATAGAAACAATAATAGAATTGAAGTTGAAAATAATGAATATAAAGCCTTTGGATCTTGTTGTAAAAATGGAATTAAAGTTGAAAAGGACAGCCATCAAGCATTGGATATTGATAACAATGATGACAACAATAATAACAACTATGCTGATAGTGATAACAACAATAATGCTGTGGTCTGTAATGAAGATGATGATAGTGATAAAAACAATAACAATATGATCTGTGATGAAGATAATGATAAGACTGAGATCAAAGAGGATGAAAACAAGGAAATTGGATTTGAAGAGGCTGAACATAAGGCATTTGAATGTTTTTGGAGAGTTGCTAAAGATAAGGACCCTAATGTGCAAAGCTGACAATGTTTCGTATTGGAAAACTTGGATGAAGCCTGTAAAGATTGGAATAGAAAGGTTAATGGGTTTAAAAGATTAATCAAAGATGACTTGAAAGCAATAAAAGAACCTATCATAATCAATGGAATTTGCTGATCCAAAGAACCTTCTAGAATAAATCAAGCAGTTGAAGTGGAATCTGGCAGAATAGAAGGAGAATCATGGAAATTAGAAAAACAAAAGCAAGACAAAGAAACAAATATTTACAGAGAATTAGATAAACTCACCTTCTAAAAGAAGCTAATGCCAAAAGAACCTGAGCCAATACTATCAGAAAAAGAGGCTAATGAAGTTGCAAAATGTGAACCAAAACCTAGGAAGTCTAAAGAGTTGACAAAAGATGAAAGAAGGTTGGCCCGAAAGGATGTTGATGAATCAAACAGTGAAGGGACTGCAACACAGATTGTACCCAAACTACCATCTAAGCAAGAAGCTAATAACAATGAAAAAAAAGAACCTACAGATGAAATGCTAAAGAAAGAAGTTAGTAAAATTGATCAAAAATGAAAAGACAAAGAACCAGAAGAATACTTCCCCCCATAATTGATCTACAATAAACCCCACCACAGAAGCATCAAGACACAAGGATCTAAAGTTTCTGTCATGCTCCTATTTATGCATAGTATACATAAACTAAGTGAAGAAAAAATGTGAGTCCTGAAATTGGTCATATGTTATCATGGTCATATGTGACTGATCATCATAATTAGATCCTACCCTCTACCCGAGTAAGTAGTTACATGAAAAGTATGATTTATCTTACTTTTCTTACTTTTATTACTTTCATTGCATTTATTACATTTATTACTTCAGGTAGATCGACAGCATATAGTACATTCAGTTTTTAGTTAGGATAGAAGTAAAAGGAGTTTTCATAATGATATAGTGTAAATAGATAATATAGAGGAAATTATCCTTGAATGTAAATAAAAGTTTTATTATAAATAAAGGGCTTTTTGCCTAGGTGGAATGTGAGCAGTATAGGTGATACTCCTAGTAACTACACTTTCATATAATAAACTAAAGTATCGAACTTATAATAAAGCGAAACTATTGTCTATTCCAAACTAATAAACTATTGTTAAACCTATTGTCATTAACTATCATTTGCCCATTATTAAATTACTAACTCGCATTTTGTTTGTTCACTGTAAGTCACGTGACCAAGCCATTAAATGAAAAGAAGGACTCTAACCCAATTCAACGATCACAACCCTAAGTTAAAAAAGTAAAGAGAGAACAAGAGAAAGCAAGGTTTAATAGAAGAACAGGTTAAAGGAAGGACTTCGAAGAGAAGAATAGTACTTATCTATGGATAAACCACCCAGTCAAATCTAACACACCTATTTTGACTTAGCTGCCATAGATTACGCAAAAGTTGGATTAAAGTAGCAACTGAATTACCGAATCCCAAATTACAGTAGATTCTCAGAAAGTGTTGTCACTTCACATCTGTTACAAGAATTTGGTATAAGGATTGAGTACCCATCAGTAAAGAATATAATTAATATTTACAGAGAAAGTAAACATGCAATTTGAAAAATTTCCAATTTTTCTTTTTCTGTAAGTGGAATAGAAAATTCTTATCAACATTATTGTGACTAATACTACCTTTTACTGTATCATTGTTAGTAATGATTAGCTTGCTAAAATTAATGTCACTATCAACTAGAATTTATCTGAGATAATTATCTATTAGAATGTCAAGAAGATTACAGTACTGGTTGAATTTTGAATAATAACAAGAACTCCATTAGAAAAAAAAGAACTGTAGTAGTTAAGAAATTAACAAATGAAGACAAAGCAGAAGAAGTTGATAATAAATATAAAGAAGAAGAATTAGAGAAATCAGTTTATATACTATCTGAATTTGATAAATAGAATAATAATACTAAATACGATGATGACAGGTTAAGGAAAAATTGTTATAAAAGAAGCAAATAGGTGATTAATAAATAGATCAACCTGAGATTATGTATTACATTGTTTAAAAAAAAAAGATTAATTTATAGCAAATCTTTTTAATTACTGTTATGAAAATAGAACTCTATCATAGATCGAATATTAGATAGAAAAATTGGAAGCAGATCAAGAGTGATAATTAACCCAACTTCTTGAAAAAAATGTTAACTTCTGTACTCAGAATTTAGAAAAACTAGTATGCACAAGACAAACTTATCATGAGATTTATATTGTTGACATTAAGAGTTTTTACATTTTTGATCATAACTTTTGATGTATTAAACCAAATTGGATGAAACAACTACTATTGAATTCAGCTTATCAAGATGGTTCTAATGAGCACAAAATTATATAATTCTGATTATGGAATCACAAGATTAGGATGATTTTGGTAAAATAGTAAATTTAATACATGTGATTTGGATATAAATGACTAAATTAGCTAAGCTCTAAAAGCATAAAAAACATAAAAAGCATAGATATCATAGATATTACAGATCTCAAATATATTATATATATATTATTTCTTAGCTTTTTTTCATATATACAATATCTTTTATATATAATATTTAACTTATATCTTTTATATCTTTAATATTTCTTATTATGTATTACTATATTTAGCATATTATATTGAGATAACTTAGCTTTATTGTAATAATTCATATATTTAAAATATCTATAAAAGCACTGTTTTTTGACTTTTTAAAAAAGTTAAGTGTTTTCATATATTTCAATAGTGAATAAACTAAATACAATATTTAGTATCTTTATATACTATCTATTGTTATTTTTGTCATAAAATTCTAAATCACTCTGTATTTTGTTAAGTTTTGTATAAACTTTTGTATAGAATCTGTTAAGTTATAGTTGTTATACTATAGTTGAGCAGCTTCTGTTATCGCTATAGTTAAAGAAAAAACAGCAAATTAATATTACTTATAGTTGTAGTTCAATTAAGCATTGTTCTTATAAATATTCACTAGCTAAAAAACAATTTCTTAAAAAAAAATTGCTTTGATATTAAAAAAAGATATAGATCAACTTTCTAGTAGCTCCTAGTTATTACCAATAGTTCTTATTAAACAGAAAGTCTGAAAAATACACTTTTATATAGACTACAAGAAGTTGGATACTATTATAATTAAGAATAATTAATCTTCACCTAGGATAAATAAACTTTTGAATATCTTGAATGAATCATTATGATTCACTTTATTAGATTTAGCTAATAAATACTGGCAAGTAAAGGTATTAGAAGAAGATTAGAACAAGACAGCCTTTATTACCCTATATAGGATGTTCAAATTTAATGTTATGTCATTTAGTCTTGCAAACATCCCTGCAACTTTCCAATAGTTAATAAATAATATTTTCTAGAATAGTATTAGAAAATTTGTAGTCATCTATTTAAATAATCTTAATATTTTTTTAATTATGTTTAAAGAACACTTGAGTCATTTAGAAGAAGTGTTCTATCATTTAAGAGAAGCTGGTTTAAATCTTAAATCCTAAAAATATTATTTCATAAAGAAACAAGTAAATTTTTTAGAATATATAGTAAGTTTAAAGGAAATTTTCACTAATCAAAGCAAGATATAAGCAGTTCAAGAATTTCTATTCCTAAAAATCTACAACAATTAAGAAGATTTTTAGGATTAATTTTTTATTATAGGCATTTTATTTCTAAATTCATGAACATTGTTGCTTTCCTTAATGCCTTATTGAAAAAGAATGCCTGATATTAATAAACTCTTAAATGTTAGGATACTTTTGAGAAATTAAAGAGAAGACTCATAAGTGCCTAAATATTAACTTATTCTAACTTTATTTGATTATTTATTCTTTTCATAAACACATCTGACTTGGCTTTAAGAGCTATATTATCACAAGCAGATGAAAAGGCAAAAAAAAGGGTAATTTTCATATGCAAGTTACTTCTTGATAACAGCAGAAAGAAATTATACTGTTACTAAAAAAGAATGTCTTGTAGTAGTTTAAACAGTCTCTTATTTCTGTATCTATTTACATAAGACTTATTTTATTCTATATACAGATCATTTGGCATTAAACTCATTATTTTCATATCAACAATCCCAAAATCAACTGGCCAGGTCAATCCTGACCTTGCAAGAATACTTGTTTACTACTATTTACAAATCTGAAAAATTTCATTTAAATACTGATAGTCTATTCCAAATTTAGTATAGAACTACATTAATTAAGAAACCCCACTTATATATATTTGAATATCACTTTTGGAAATTCCTTATTAACACAATAGACTTTTATGGAAATAAAAATATACACACATTTTATTAATTACCTTAGCTGGTCTAAGGTTTCTCTGAATAGTACCAAAAAGATAATGAAACATTTAATCTATTATTATCTTTTTAAAGACAAATTATTATATAAAAATAATTTATATAATTCATGATAGCTTTTAAGAGTATTGAGACTATATAAAACTAAGATTGTATTGTATACAATGTACTTAAACTCTTTAGCAGGACATTTAGAAAAACTGCTATATATTAAAAGGTTATGATTTGTTACTTTTGAACTCAGATAGGTAATAATATAAAGTGATATATAGAGTTATGTGACTCTTGCCAAAATAAAGAGCAATCTAAAACCCAAGAGCCCTTCTACCTAATTAGAATTAGTTAGCCTTTTGATTAAATAAGGATGAATATTATTGCCCCCTTTCTGTGACCCTAGGTAGTAAGAAATATATCATCATAAGCACTGAATATTTTACCAAGTAATTTAAAACATATGTATTAAAATAGGCAGATACTGAATCTGTAACAACTTTTATTTTTAAAAACATTATTTGTTGCTATAGTAGCCTCTATGAATTGTTGTCAGACCAGAAAATTTATTTTTGTAATAAATTAGTGAGTTCTCTATATGAAAAAATGAAAATTTATTATAGAATATCAATGACTTATTATCTCCAAACTGATGGGTTGGTGGAATGATTTAATAAAACTTTTTGTAAAGTTATAGCATGATGTATAGTGCAGTATAACAAAGAATAGGCTAAATTTATTCCTGTGACTTTGTTTGCTATAGAATAATATGCCACAATATGACTAGATATGAACCTTTCTAATTGATATACAGATGAAATGCATTACTTCTAGTTAAAACTATAATTTTAATATATCCTCTTGAGTCTATTACTGAAGTAGATTTTCAAGATCAGATCTTTAGTAGAATTAAGATACTACTTGAAAATTTGAATCTAGCTAAACAATAATCATGAATTAATATTAGAAATCTTAGCAAAAACAGAAGAATTACTATAATCAGAGATATAGAACAAAAACTTATCAGATTGAAGACAAGGTTTTGTTACATAAAACCTTTTTGGAAATATCAAACAGTGTTAAGCTTGAAAAATGTTTTACTGGATCTTATTACATTCATGATATATTTGGTAATAAAATATATAAATTAAGAATTATCCATAACAGTATTGATAAACAAGAATTGATCAAAAAGGTTCTTAGGAAAACTGTGCATAATAACCAGTTAAAGTAATATATTTTACCCTTTTAAAAGAAGACATTTTTAATTATAAATACAATAAATTTTGATTCAAACATCAAAATTTATTTTAACCATGGAATCTTTTGCTGTTATCTTCAAGTTTCTTAAAACAGTACATCAACTTTGAAAAAATATTAAAGATATTATGGTATCTGAAATCCACATTACTAATGATAACATTGCATACTATAATCAAAAAGATAAAGTTGTATCTCTTGACTTTACTGAAAAAATAACTACTGAACCTCTTAAGAATGCTAAAATGTCTTTAAATCTTAATGATCTATAACAAATAGACACACCTACCCAATCATTAATTTAGATTGTAGATGAAATGTAGAATGAACAGATTCTTTATTTAAGAAATCAGATTCATAATAAGATGCTTGATCCATTAATCCTTCTTTAATGTTATTACTTTATTAGGAAGAAGTTAGTTAAAAAATCTTAGGAATTTGATATAAGAGAAAAGATACATGTCATCTTTATTGAAAATAAATACTATTATGCATAGAAGGCAGCTATGTGTATCTATCAGTTGTTCCATACTAGAAGGGTATATATAATTTGTTAATCCCTAGTTATATTTTTGCATATGCTTTAGCAAAACTATTAAACAAAAACTTTAAAACCTTAGTAGAGAAGGCTCATGTAGTAAGAGAACAAAAGATAAAGATGTTGTTAAAAGGTATAACACTCTTCACAGGAACTTAGAAATAAGAAAGGGAGTATGTTATAGTGGTAATGTGAAGAAGGTGTGATAATAGACAGTGTAATAGGCTATGTGAAACTTAGAATCAGTACAAGCCCAATAATTGTATATAGAATTTTCTAAATTTGTAAATACTTACCTTTTTGTAATCAAAGTTTGTATTCAAATTAGTATAATTATACCCAGACCCTGTACTAGTTCTTAGTATAGAAACCACAGATCACTGAAACTAAGTAGTGATAGTGTTAGTAAACAAAACTACTAGTTTCATAGATCAAAAGGTTCAATTGTTGTACCTACTAATAAATCAAAAGGTATAAAAGCAAAACCTTCGAGTCTTTAATAAAGTCAGTAGTTTTGATGTCTTAAATAGTAGAATAGAAGAATTGATTGCTCAAGTGTTTAGGTAAATTTTGTTGTTAGAATCTTATTTACTTAATAAAAATCAATTAATAACCCTTATATTAAAAAATCCATTACATTTCTTTTAGTATTTCGAAGTATTGTCATAATTCATTATTACTATATTAACTTATTAATTAAGTGCCCTCTTTATTAATTATGTTAGTTACATCACTAAATTGATCCAATAAAAATTAAATTTATTATATAAGTGTGACTATCACTTAAATTGATTCATAACCCAATTCCGCATAAATTAGTTAACTGATCCTTATTAAATTACCGATCCACGTGAACAAGCCACCCTACCGATAGTACTATATTACCCTACTTGTAATAACTTTTTATTTTAGTTCACTATTGGAGTTAAATTGGACGAAATATTGCTCAGCTCTCCCAAACAATAGTAACAGTACGTACTGTACGTACTGTACGCAAGAAATTTCTATTCTGACCCGAGTAAAAGTGACACATCACATGGCTTTGTTCGTGTCGGAGGCAGGTACCTGAAAAAATATTAATCTATTTAGATTAATATAAATCAATATTTTTGGGTCAAATCATTGATAAATCGATAATTTTACAATTTTTGCTGCTGTGTAACATTACACATTACCAATGGCCAGAATTATGAATAACACTGGCCAAAATTAATAACTAAAGATATTACGATCATCAGAATATAAAAGGCTAACGGCCTTTTTTTTTAATTTAAATTCAGATGCGAACAAAAGTTACTCAGCATTATTTTGTTGATCTTGGTTATGTAAGCCAGTATTTCACGTTTCAAGGTTTTTGGTATCTTACCTCATATTGCTTCAAAGTTGTTATAAATTAAACTACTGCACATACTCGTGCGCAAGAATTTCCTTAGTAAAGGATCGCTTCATGCTCATACGATTATGTATTATAATCAGGATACTTAGAAGCAGTTTTGTTAAAGCTATTCTAAAAACATAAGATCGATAAATAAGAAAGAAAAAGAAAAAGCTTGATCACGTTATCATGAACTTGCATTCTAATTGGCCAGATAGGTAAATCGATATAAATCGATACTTTTGACCATATCAATATATATTTTTGCCTATGTCATATCGATATTTTTCCGGGTCCCTGGTTGGAGGATTTCATGAAGTTCACGTGACCTACGCGCTTCGAATAAGCCAATAGAATCACATAAAAAATTACCTGCAATTTAATTGGCCGCTTCGAAGCGAGGAGGTCACGTGACTTTATTGAACTGGTCACTTCATTAAATATACTATACTATATGTACTGTACGCGAAAAAAATTAGGCTATCATATAAACGGCACATCACTAGTTACACGAAATATTCCATCGAGAAGCGACTGACTCGCCGTTTCGCTCGGGTATGTTATTATAAAATGCGTATTTTTCCTATCCATATTTCAGATATCGAAGACTGACGACTTTATTAAAGGCTCAAAGGCCCTCTTTTATACTTAACGAACAATTAAGAGGTACGATAATCGAACTTTAGATCCTTGAAACTAGTGGTTTCGTTTGCTAATACTATTGCTACTTAGTTTCAGTTATCCACGGTTTCGTTACTAAAGGTTATTACAGGATCTCGGTATGATTACACTAATTCGGCTACGATTTTCGATACAAAAGGGTAAGTATATACGTATTAGAAAATCTATTTACAAATAAAGGGATTGTACTGATTCTAAGTTTCACTCAGCCCGCCACAATTCCAGTCAACACGTCCCTCTTTTACGTTACTACCGTGACATTAGTAACCGACGTTTCGTATATTGTACTATGTTTATGTTGACGTAGCAGAAAGATTATTATGCTATTCCAGTTCAATCGATGGTTTTATTTATAATAAATGAAACGATAAACGTCTTCATATAATTTACTATTTATTTAATTGATGGCAATACAGAATAACGTTAAATGTATTAATTATATTACTTTACTGTTTATGTCGCATCATAATGGTATAACTTTAACGATTAGATCGAAAGGTTGATAGACTATTTGTTAATAATTAATAGGCAAAATTTGTAAAGAAGAAAAAAATTTTTTCAAATAAATTTATATTTTTAAGTTGTTCGCTTAATATATGTATCTTAGTTACGAGAGATCTATAGGATTGGTACCAGTAGTGTAGCGATGTATCTTTAAAAAATGCGTATATATAATAGATAGTTGGTTTTGGCGCAACTGCGTTGCACAGCTACCTTATATATAACTAATAATACCATTACCTCATTATTACGTATAAAAAATTTTTGATCGCCCCTATTTATATAAAATTTAAAATAATAAATCAGCTGATATCTGTTACACACGGCGGCGAAGCCGCCACATGATCATGTACTATTTATTATATATAAAAATTGTCTGGATGTTCGGAATCTTTTTCTCTTCAAATTCATGGATTCATTAACGTCAAGCTACCTGGATCTAGATAAAGCCATTTTAGAATATACTATTAATTTCTACGATTTTGATGAGTTCATCGATCAAGCAGAAACTAAATGTGAGCGTGATGTGAAACTTCGGAAGGATTGGAATCTCAGTCATTCTTAAATACTTAGAAAAAAAAAAGATATTATTGTTAAAGAGGTACTGCTTTAAACTGTGAACTTTAACCATAAAATAATTATTTCTAAGTGCATTATAATTTTAATTAAATACGTAGGTTAAAATTTTACAAATATTGGCTTTTATCCTAACATTATTCGATTTTATAGAAATATTAAAGGTAATTCATTATTATCCTCGTACAATTAAGTTCAATAAAATTTTATAAATAATTTAATCATCGTCAATTTACAAATAAACAGATCCATTTAAAGGACATTACAATATGATTGTGCAATTTCTAAGGATGAGAATTTATAAGATCATTTGAATAAAATCTTTTTTAAACTTCGATGGGTAGACAAAGTTTATGTTACTAGTGAAATAGTAAAGGGTGTTGCGTTTCTACATAAACATACAAACATTGTAAGTTATATATATTTTTATTTGTTTAAATAGTTTGCTAATATTGTTTTGTAATTTTATAGAATGAGAAAAATATTTTAGTTTATAAAGGCAAAATAATGATCACGCTTATTCAAACGTGAATAATATGCTCAAATTTTTGGGCCAAAACTGAACAAGAGAAAATCGATGAAAGTTTAAGAAGTAAACGTAATATTACAGTAATCGACGCTCTTACCACAACCTCAGTTAAATCTAAGGCATGGCCTAACAAATGGAAAGCTTACCTATTGACGTGGAGAAGAATGGAAGGAAGCTTGAACGACTCTAACATTTGGTCATGGAATTTAAACTCTATCAGCCTGGCTGGTTGTAGCGGCGATGAGTACACAGTTAAGAAAAGCACAATTTTTCTGAAGGACAGATACACTCATCTCACAGCAGCACAAAAAAATGTAGATCCAACACTGATAGACTCTCAAAAAGAATGAATCAACCTAAAAGGGATCATTAACAAGAAATTAGATATATTTATCATCGTGCTACCCCTGGGTTACCGACTACAACACATAATATCGGGGAGTGCACAGAGTGCTCTGGCGATCTCCAAACCATGGAGCATTTTGTATCCACTGTAAAGGAAGTAAAGATATCCGGCAGCTGGTATATAGGTTCTTACAAAACTCAGCTGAAACTCTCTCGAAAATTTTTTTCGGGTGCTAATATAGGTGACAAGAAGCTAAAAAAGGCTATATTGTGGTTACACGTTAATGCAATATATGAAATTTGGTGCTGCTATAATCAATCGAAATGGGGAGGAAAGTCTATCCCAGGCCCAAAAATAACTTTTATTGTAACAAATAGAATTAAGAAGAAATTAGAGCCCTGCAAAGTAAGACGATGAAAGGGATGAAAGCTAAGGAGTCTCTCCTTCGACATTTAGTATTAAATTAACATATACAGTACTATAATCCAAAATAAGCCATCTGCATTATGCCATAAGTAAGGTTCAATAAAGTGCGCCCCACAGCATCCTGGATAAAAGGGTTCAAAAAAAAAAAAAATAGATAGGATATCGATGAAAAACATGTTAACAAGATTTATGAGAACTGAAAGGTCCTAAATCGGCGAGTCTGTCGCTAATCGAAGGTCGACTTCCGTAACGATCGGACGGCTTTCGGTCGAAAAAGGCGTGTAGATTTGACGAGTAATTTCGATTCGGGTCTAGCTTATCCGGGATAGTCTACACTACGTTGGGACTATCACTCTACTAATTCCTAAAATTGCAGTATTCCACACTACTTCGAGAATAATATACCAACAGGTTGGGATTTACTACTATTACACAGGTTAGTTTATTCTTTACCAATGGTTCTCTACAGTCACTCATAGAAGAACCTTTCTTTCGATTTATGTAAGGTAGGGTAATTGAATCCAATTTTATTGCTTGAGCGAGATTAAATGATATTCATAACTAATATTATCTATTTTTAGGGTGGCATATCCCATATATCCATTATCGCGATTATATACGTATGCAATATAGGCATGATAATCATTATCGGCATTATAAGCACTGTCAACCAAAGTATAATAAGAGATTTTAATAGTCGGGAGTGAGTGACTTGGGGTCGTACGGCGAAGATCCCACGTCGAAATTGGTTACCCGTGGCTCACGTGTTTCGGGTCTAACAATACATTATGTAGCTCCGGAAGTTTTACGTGACAAAAACACACATATGAATTCTTCTATACAGAATTACTGTATAACGGGATTATCTCCATTTCTTATGCCATTGATTTAGAAATTAGGGCTCGTAATGGTTTAAGACTGGAACTTTCAAAATGCACATCAAAGCTGTTAAGTATAACTATTAAAATTATGGAACAATGTTCCTTATCGACGAACAAATGTTATGGAATAACTGAATAAATTAAATAAAGGGTATTCAAAGATAAATGAAGATAATAATCTTGAATCAGAAGTAGGAAAAGCATTATCTGATGCACTTTGTAAGAACACGATGGAAGGTCAACAAATAGAACGGGATAGCAATACTGCCAATTATCTGAAAATAAAAGAAACCCTCAGTGCTGTGAAGCAACTTAATCTTAACGAAACCTTGTCAATACTATCTTATTAGAACATCAATTTATAATAAATAGAGATGAGCACGCGCGGGATTTTTAATATGATCTCGAAATAAGATTATTTGGCCGGCATTACCATAATATCTGGCTAGCATTAATATAATATCTGACCTGCATTAACATAT